TACACTGGTCAGAAAGCTTGACTTTATGGTCAATAGGGTTTTTATGCCCGTTTTTGTGACGACTTCCATGATGAGGGTGGTTGTACAACAGGAGGTGCCTGATGGTGACCAAACGGCAGTTCGTGCCACAGCAATCATCACTCTTGTGATCTTCTTGAGCAAATTTGTGGCCTCTTTGGTGACTCCTTTGTGTTGCAAGATGCCTCTCAAGCATGCTGTGACACTAGCACTCGTAATGACCAGCAAAGGCGTTGTCGAGGTAGCCGGATACACCATTGCTAGAGACACTTGGGTACGTAAGTTTAAGTTCATATTAATTAATAATACATACATGTCGATATGGCATTACTAATCTAGTCAATTTAATTATAACATCCAAATACTTATTTTAATTTAATTTAATTCGTAACAAACCACGCATTATTATTGTCACACGTTCACGCATTTGCACATTAATCTTTATAATTACTAATAGGCAGCCTCACTGATATTAATACTAGTTCCCATGTTTTTCCTTATGCGCAGATTATTGTTCATGGGGTCTTTAATTATATGATGTTCACCGTCGTATTTAGTGCAATTGTTGTGCCACCTCTTGTGATGCTCTTGTACGATCCCAAGATAAAATACGCCGGCTACCAACAAAGAAACCTTATGAATGACAAACCCAATTCCGACCTACGAATCCTTGCGTGCATCAACAGAGCCGATAACACCCCCGCCATCATCAACCTTCTCGACGCCGCATGCCCTACTCGAGAAAGCTCCATCACCCTCTACGTCCTTCACCTCATCGAGCTAGTTGCCCGAAGCATGCCCGTCTTCATCGCCCATGATATACACAAGTGGGACCTCTCCAACTACTCGTACTCCGATAATGTCATCCGTTCGTTTACTCAGTTTATGAGAGACAACGATGGAGCTGTCTCCGTTAATGTATTTACAGCGGTCTCTCCTCCCCAATACATGTACGACGACATATGCACCCTCGCGCTCGACAAGGACACGTCGCTCATAATCCTTCCGTTTCATCGAAAGTGGTCGACCTCTGACGGGTCTATTGAGTCGGAAAACCAAAACGTAAGGGATCTCAATCGTAGGGTACTTAAAACAGCGCCATGTTCGGTTGCCATACTTGTGAACCGTGGTCACATAAGATGCACCAACTCCTCAGCTGAAGGGTATAGAGTTGCGGTGGTTTTTCTCGGAGGGAAAGACGATAGGGAGGCGCTTACTTTCGCGAAACGGATGGTGAAGGATGCGTGCATCAGCCTGACGGTGATTCATCTGGTGGACGCATCAGACCACGAAGAGAGTCACAACAAATGGGAGTGGGTGCAGGACAATGAGATGTTGAAGGAAGTAAAGCAGAAGAGTATAGGGTATGTGAGTTACGTGAAAGAGAATGTACAGGATGGGACTCGAACGACAAGGAAAATACGGTCGTTGATGGACGACGATGAATACGACCTGTTCATCGTCGGGAGAAGATATAAGGTGAAAAGCCCTCAGACGTTGGGTCTTGAGGACTGGAGTGAGTTCCCGGAGCTTGGGGTTATCGGCGACATGCTTTCCTCGGCGGAATTTCGCTGCAAATCTAGTGTATTGGTGATTCAGCAACAGCAACAACGTAGGAGGTGGCGTGATTAGCTAGTCAAAAACGAAAAGTAGAACTTCAACCATTTTGTTCCTAAAATTCTTGTCACACTAACACAAATTTCATGAGGTAATGCCACTATTTAGACCAAATTTGTAAATATATGACATGATTGTTGATAATTAGATTGTTAATTATTGATTAACGTATTTATTTTCTATTAGTATGATTTGCAAATTTAATTTAAAATTTTGGTTTACCTAGCATTACTCACATCATAGGATTCTAATTTTTTTTCTTTTTCCTTTTGGAATATGCTCTTAAACAAATTATAGGCCGAAGCGATACTTTTTGTAATTCATAAAGAACAAAGTGAGACTCAATTATTGTTTTAAATCAATGATGTGATGCATTTAGATAAATTGAAACACATGATGATGCGTAACAAGTTTTAAAAAATCCCACTTTGTATTGTCTAGTTTCGTATTAGTCAGGCAAAATGGAATTAAATGCGAATTTTGAATTAAAAGAGATGGAAGTTATTGCAATATTTTATCCTAAAATTTGTGTAACATCCCACATTGTCCCAGGGGAGTGATCCTTATATGTATATTCCTATCCCTACCTAGCACGAGGCTTTTGGGAGCTCACTAGCTTCGGGTTCCGTAGGAACTCCAAAGTTAAGCGAGTAGCGCGCGAGGTCACTCCCAGGATGGGTGACCCATCGGGAAGTTCTCGTGTGAGTTCCCAAAAACAAAACCGTAAGGGTGTGCTGCGGGCCCAAAGCGGACAATATCGTGCTACGGTGGAGTCGGGCCCGGGAAGTGGTCCCGCCCGGGCCGTGATGTGACAATTTGTAAGTGGTTTTTGAATTAGGTGAGGTTTCAATTTGAGCAATTTGTATTATAAAAAGTTTAAAATTGTATTAAGTGGGCTTTTTATCTAAAATGGTTATCCAAACTACATTAAAAATAATATTTGGCTACTTAAAGATGTCACATCCCAGATCGGTTCCGCACGATATTGTCCGTTTTGAGCTTACCATTTCCTCACGGTTTTGTTTCTGGGAACTCACAAGCAACTTCCCAGTGGGTCACCCATCCTATGATTGCTCTAGCCCAAACTCGCTTAACTTCGGAGTTCAGATGGAATCTGAAGCCAGTAAGTTCCCAAAAGGCCTCGTGCTATATGGAGGTGGGCATGTACATATAAGGCACATCACCCCCTCTTCGTTGGTCGATGCGGGATGTCACAATCCACCCCACTTAAAGGGAACCCGACGTCCTCGCCGGCACATTCGTACCAAACAGCAGAGTGGATCTTATACCAAATTGTCACATCCTGATCCAGACCCCCACCATATCTCAGGCTCGACCGCTGTAGCACGATATTGTTCGCTTTGGGCCTCGACCACGCCTTCACGGTTTTGTTTCTGGGAACTCACGAACAACTTCCTAGGAGGTCACCCATCTTAGGATTGCTCTAGTCCAAATGGCTTAACTTCAGAGTTCCGATGGAATCCAAAGCCAGTGAGCTCCCAAAAGGCCTCGTGTTAAGTAGAGATGAGAATATATATATAAGGTTTACATGATCCACACTCCTGGACGATGCGGGATCTTACAATCACCTCCCTTAGGGGCCCGACGTCCTTGTCGGCACACTTTCGCCCAGGGATTGGCTTTGATACCAAATTGTCACATCTAGGCCCTGGCCCTAACCATATCCCCGGCTCGACTCCACTGTAGCACGATATTGTCCGCTTTGGGTCCCGACCAGGGATCCACACCCCTAGGCAATGGGGGATCTTACAATCCACCCCCTTAGAGGCCCAACGTCCTCATTGGCACACTTTTGGTCATGGATTGGTTTTGATACCAAATTGTCACATCCCCCTGGCCCTCACCACATCCCAGGCTCAACTTCACTGTAGCACGATATTGTCTACTTTGGACCTCGACCACGCCCTGACGGTTTTGTTTCTAGGAACTCACACGAGAACTTCCCAGTGAGCCACCCATCCTGGGAATGCTTTCGCTTGAACTTGCTTAACTTCGGAGTTCCTACGGAATTCGAAGCCACTGAGCTCTGAAAAGGCCTCGTGCTAGGTAGATATATGAATATACATATAAGGCTTACATGATCCATACCCCTGGGCGATGCAGGATCTTACAAAAGATGAGTAGGAACTCCTACTCAAAATTTATCAAAATTGTTCGTTGTCTATTTATAGAATTTCGTGTTTATAATAAGAACTGTTCATATTATAAATCACCATATAAAGATCGTGTTTGCAAGAAATCAATTAAAACTAAGGTCGTTAGTCATCAAACTGTTTAAAAACAAATTAACGGTATTGGTAAAAGCATTACAAATCATCTATGTATTTGCTACAATAGATTAACTAAATAACCTTAGTTTTAATTTTTTTTTGTACAGATGATCTTTACAGTGTGATTCATAGTATGAAAGGTTCTGATCATAAGCACAAAGCTATGTGATTAAAACACTAAGAGTTTTGAGTAGGAATTCCTAATCATCTTTGAGTAGCCAAATATTGTTCCATTAATAAAATCTCTAAACTATATTAATAGAACTATCATTGTCAACCAAAATAAGGTAAAAAGACAATTTTGTCTTCTACCACAAAACAAAATCATGAACAGTAGAGTAAATTTAAGCAAACTAAATTTTACCCTTTTTTTTAAAGCCTCACCCAATAGCAGTGTTCTAAAAAAAGGCATAGACGGCGCCTAGGCCTTGGTGACCCCGAGGTGTTTTTTTGCAAATTGGTTGGAAAAATTGACTTTTTTTAAATAAAAAATAAAAAAAATCATATCTACATTACTATATTTCCTTATTTTCCTATTATTTTGCATTTTATTTGGTTTTAAATTGTAAACTTATTATACATGTGTCATTCTACAATACTTCTCACTATGGTTATATGACATATATGCTTAATGTGTTTTTAAATTTTGGACTTGTTGGATACTCTTTTTGCATTTTATCATTCTTTTATTATCTTATCCACAAATTTCATACAAGTATAATATTTTGTAAGTGTCAATATGTATTTATTTACAAGATATACAAAAAATTTATCTAAATCCGTTTAGGTGCTAGGCACCAGCCCACCGTCCGACTAGCACCTAGTATTTTTTAAAACCTTGCCCAATAGTGATCCTAACATCTCTAATTTTGAAAAAAAAAAACTTCTCTCTCCAATTCACATTTCTTTTCTCTCTCTTTTTCCTTTCCATTTTAAAATAAAAATAAATTATTTTTACACACAAAATGTGAAGCATATGCTACTCGAGATTATTATAACTCCTTAAGCCATTTTTTTTTCTCCGACAAAAAAAATTTATAAATGTGGTGTCTCACATGAAAATCAACGTTTTACGGGGTACTGGAATAATTCACGGAACAATCTTAATTTGTTGAATCAAACCACCGTTACCAAATATCCTCCTCCACCTCCGTCGCCTGTTATCAGCCGTCTCCTCCCTATCAAGCCTCGCTAGTCACTACCTCCCCCTTCCTTCTCACCGATCACATACATCAATTTTTTTGGCTATGCGGACTTGCAATTGCGAATCGGAGCCTCAGCCCATGGAGTCAGACTCTCCAGGTAAACGCGCTCTCTCTCTCTCTCTCTCTACACACACACACACACACACACACACACACTATGGTTCCTCTAGGGGTTACTCTAGCCACTGAGCTGCTTTCTGAATGCTGAAGTAATGCACCGCTCAAATTATTCAGGTTTTCCGTCGGATGATTTTGATGGAGTCTCACTCGACTTTGATCACTGGACTTCACTCATTTCAGAGATGGAAAACACATATTCTGTAAGCAAATAGCATTCTTTTCTCTCCTAATTTCGTAAATTTTCTTAATTTTTATGTTTTATTTTTGTGAATTTTGGCTGTGAAACTATGTGCAGGATGACATAGAGAAAATATCCTCTGTTTACGACTCTTTCTTGTCCGAGTTTCCGCTCTGCCATGGATATTGGAGGAGGTATGCCGATCACAAGACCCGCTTATGCAGTGTTGACAAGGCTGTTGAAGTTTTCGAGCGGGCGGTGCAGGCAGCAACTTACTCTGTTCCCCTGTGGGTGGACTACTGTAACTTCAGTATGTCTGTTTTCGAAGACCCGTCTGATATTCGCAGGTAATATCAAATCGCTTCCGTAACAAAATTCAGCTATAAATTTTGAACTAGTTGAATCATTGATACGCCTTGTCGGTTATAGTCATCTGAACTAGTAGAAATTTTCAGCTATCTTGCATGTTTTTAGGCAGTGTTTATTGTTTACAAGTTTAAAACTTTGAAATTCTTTGACAGATTATTTAAACGAGGCATGTCGTTTGTTGGAAAGGATTACGCATGCCATACTCTGTGGGACAAGTACATTGAGTTTGAGTATTCTCAGCGGGAATGGAGCTCACTGGCACAGATTTACATCCAAGCTCTAAGATTTCCTACCAAAAAGTTGCACCAGTATTATGAAAGGTATATCTTGCATTGATTCTTTGGAGTTAAAAAGAAAGGAGGAAACCTTGAAATCATAACTCTAGATCTAGTTTGTGCTCTTTCATTTAATTTCTTATTGTTCGGTGGTATTACCATTAATTTTCTGAAGACCTTGTTTGCATGATAATCGACAGTTTACCACAATGTGTGGTTTTCTGTTATAGTTGATTTCAACTGACATAGATTTTTTTTATGCTTGTGGAGTGTACCATTTACAATTTTGTGTCTTTTTTGCCCTTCTAGTTGAACCACTTAGATGTTATTCTTACAAGGCATCGGTTTCATTTTCTCATCAGTTTGAAGAAGTTGGCTGCCTTGTGTGAAGGGGAGATGAAATGCCACAGTAATTCTACTGAAGATTTGCAATCTGAAGCAGTGGTTGGTAGCGAAGTCCCTACATTTTATACGGATCATGAAATTGCCCTTGTTGTCAAAGACCTGCTGGATGCAGAAAATGGCTTAGACAGGCGTAAAGCACTGGAAAAGTACTTGTGTACTGGAAAGCAGTTGTATCAGCAAGCATGTCAACTAGAAGGAAAAATTGGCACTTACGAGAGCAATATAAGGAGGTCTTACTTCCATGTGAAGCCACTTGATGTGGGTCAGTTGGAGAATTGGCATTCCTATCTGGATTTTGTTGAGATGCAAGGGGATTTTGATTCGGTATGGTTCTACAATTTCTTTTGCTTACATGGCCTTGGCCCCCTGCGTCTCTTTTATTGTTATCTGAACCCCCTTTCATCTATTGTGTGTAGGCTGTAAAATTTTACGAGAGATGCTTGATTCCCTGTGCTAATTACCCTGAGTTTTGGATGCGTTATGTGGATTTCATGGAAATTAACGGAGGAAGAGAGATTGCAAACTATGCTCTTGACCGAGCAACCCAAATTTTTCTAAAGGTATTTTTACTTGAAACTATGCATCAAGTTTTAGGTGAGTTGTATTTTGTGCTACAATGTCGTGATTAGTCAAACACTAAAGACCATAACATTGGGAAGTTACAGGATAATCGTCTACTGCCGGTTCGCTGAGGAATTGTACCGAGTTATATTTTTCGGTGTATCATCTTTAATAATTGAAGCTGGAACCTTCATAGCATGAAATGGACCAGGAGATGAGGCACTTTTCTTGAAAATGTGAATGTTGGGACATGTCATGGGCTTTCCAAAAATACTAGATCCTAAACTTGTTTGGCTAAGATTAATTTTTGGGTAGCATTTACCTATTCAGCCATCACATAATCAACTCTAAAACTAATTGTTTTTTCCTCCTCAAAGGTAGTTATAAAATAATGACTTCATCGGTCACCTTACTGGTTGCCAGGCGATTAAAGCCAAGGGTTTAATTTTCTTTTATGTAAGGAACTAAGGATACACTGGAAACTCATTATGGTTTGGATTATATGGATTTCTTTGGTTAGAAAACAATCATTATACTTGGAGTAATCTCAACTGTCAAATATTTTCGTCATGCAATCATGTTGTGGACAACTTCGAGCAGTACTATTTAAATTTTCTGTACTATAATTTTTCTCTAAAACTTAGTGTTAGCAATTGTGTGACAAGTTTATGATGTTCTGAAACTTGCTCAATTGCTGCTCTCTATAGGATGCCTTGACTCGATTACTTTGTACATGACTGGCGATGTTTATGGCCATCCTCGTATGTTCGTTGCAGAGAGTGTCGGTGATTCATCTTTTCAGTTCCAGGTTTAAGGAGCAAACTGGAGATGTATCTGGTGCCCGTGCTGCTTTTCTTCATTGCAATACAGAATCAGATTCCTGTTTTGTGAAGAATGTTATGTCAAAGGCTAATATGGAAAAACGTATGGTATGCAATCAGCTCTTTCATCAATTAAATGGAAATATTACTCGTACTTATTGTCTTGATTAAGAATGAGGACCAACTCATGCTGATGCTTTTCCTACATTATCAGGGAAATATCACGGCAGCTTCCAATACATACAAAGAAGCGCTAGAAATGGCTGCAGAGAAGAAAAAGATGCATACACTTGCTATTTTATATGTTCAATTTTCTCGACTTATATACATGGTACGTAATATATGAACACAGGAAAGTCCATATCTGCATTGGGGTGGTAGCAATTACTTGCGACAAGATTTGGTTCCAGTTTCAACTCCCCCTCTATTTAGTTTAAAGTACTTAATGCCATTTAGGCTTATTTAGTAAGTATCCATGTTTTATTATAGTATTTCTTAAAGAAAATGCAGCTCTCCTGTGCTTATAAAAATATAAGTCCTCGTTCCAAAAATGATTTGGTTTGTTGTATGGATAGGCAAAGTAGTATGCAACACACAATGGTGGTCCTTTTATGAACTCGTTGATATATGAATTTCTGTTTCTCTATATGCTTGCATTGTCCCCTTAGTATTTGACTTTTGAGGAAATTTTCCATTTATTTATAGTACATGAATGTGGTGGCCAACTTTAATATGATTATCGACATCTCCTTGCTTTCCTGTCACAGATGACTGATAATGCAGATGCTGCCAGAGATGTCTTGATAGATGGCATCAAACACTTGCCTTATTCCAAATCACTTCTAGAGGTATTTCTCTTCTCTTAGCACCTTATGAATATTTACATTTCCACATCATGAATGGACCTGTTGTAGAAATACATAGTCTGGACTAAAACTTGAATCTATGCTTCAATATGTTAAACCTTTGCTCATTATATCATCATGATAAAAGTTTAACTTCGATACAAAAATGTAAAGTTGCTTGATTGTTATGTCTTCAGGAGTTAATAAATTTCGCAAGTATGCATGGGGGGAAGCAACACCTAAATGTGGTAGACTCTATTGTCGCCAAAGCAATCTCTCCAGAGTCAGGTGTATCTGATTGTCTGAATGCAAAAGATGCAGAGGATATTTCAAGTTTATATTTAGAGGTGAAAATTTCTCTTTCAACTCGATCTTATGTTGATACTGTCATTTCTGGTCTTTCGAAAAATAATAGATTGAGGGGAAAAGGTGCTACGTGTTGCTTTCTGCCTCTCCATATCGTAATTTCTTGTAATTTGAGGGAAATATGGTATGGTGGTTCGGCAATTTCACTCAATCTCTGGGAAGTCTGTAATTTAGTGTAAAGATTTACTATATGCCATTTCATCAAGTTCCTTTGGTTCTGACTTGTATATGATGGAAACAGTTTGTTGACCTTTATGGAACCATCCATGAATTAAGAAAGGTGTGGACTCGGCATGTGCGACTGTTCCCATACTCTACAAGGACTGCTTTTTTTCATCAGAAACCTACATTTAGAAAACCTTTGGAATTGGCTAGAGAAACGGAGGAAGCTTTGGTTGTTATGCCTCAGCAGCCATCTGGAGATTTTAGTTCTGACTCCTTGATTGTGCTCCCATTGCATGACACTGTTGACAGCAAATCGTTATTGCCAGACAATCATAGTATCGAGTCTGGCCAGGAAGGAACTGATCATACGTTGGACCAGGATATGCCATCACAGGGAAGTCAGCTTGAGCAGATTACCTCCGACAACCTTCAGTCAAGCCAACCTGAAAACATTCAGACACTGAAACTACCTTCTCCAGAAATTTCAAGAGAGCAACCAACACAACCGAGAGATGATAAACCTGAAGCAAATCTGTCATCTGTAGGTTTAGTAAAAGTGGAACAGGTATCTTCAGAAAATCCTGAGGAGCCCAGAGAAAATACTACTGAACCAAAGGCATCATCTGTTGAATTAGAATGTCAAGTTGCTGAAGGGAATGAAACTGTAGAATCTTCACAAGAAGTCACAGACAGGAGCGATGTTCATCGAGAGATTGACAACAAGCCTGAACAAGACCTGAAGCCACTGTCGTTGGAGAGTCTTTCTTAAGCTCCCAGGAGAATACGAATCCGGATTCAATACCCTCCATTTTTCACAAGCGTGAAACTTCTCAAGAAACCAATACTTCAAATGAAAGGAAGCTAGAGAGCAATTGCAAATCTAATGAAGACTACAGCCCAAGAAATACCAGAGCTTTAGAAACAGCTGGAAATGAAGTGGTTAGTCCTATGCCAATGCAAATGCCTTCTCAGCCAGCTGTAAATAGTTATGGTGACTGGCGTCGGAATAATCATTCTGGTAAAGTTCGTAGAGATTCCAAATTTGGCTTTAGGGGACGTCTACAAAGAAACTCGTATCAGCAGAAGCCACTTTCTCCTAAAAAATACCCACAAGCTGAAACGGGTCGTCCAATGCCTGGGATTCTAGGTCAACCCCCTCAACCTTTGTCCTCACAGAGCTCGCAAATTCAGCAAGGCAGCCAGGATCATAATCGATATCAAGCAGCAGCCACTCCCACTAATGTAATGGCACCTAATGCTTGGCCTATGCAGAATGTACAGGCGCCAAATTATGCCTCTTCATCTCAGCCTCAGTTGCCTGTCCAATCTGTTCCTCCACAGATGTCCCAATCATCCGTTTTAGGCAACGTGCAGTACGGCATGCAGAACAGCCAAGCATATAATGAGATGTGGCAATATTATTACTACCAGCAGCAGCAGCTATTTCTTCTACAACAACAGATGCATCAAGCACAGCAGCAGCAACAGCCGCAACAGCAGCAGCAGGTCTTGTTGCAACAGTATCAGCTTCAGCAGCAACAACTTCAACAATATTATGCTCAGATGCAACAGCAACAATCTTATCAACAGCAACAATTGCAACAACTACAGACGCAACAGCAATTTAGTCCACAGTTCCAGATTCAACAGCCGCAAATTCAGCAACCTCATCTGCAGCCGCAAATTCAGCAACCTCATCAACAACAGCAACTTCAGGAACAACATCTGATGTACTTGCAGAAACATCAGCAGCCATTACAACAACAGTCCCTTATGCAGGAGCAGCAGCAAAATATCCCGTCCATGATTCAACGGGACAACTACCATCAGGTATGATATTTTGCAATTGTCTAGATACATGTTAAAATTAAACCGAAATCACTCCAAATAAAAACCACTAGTCAAGGAAACTAGGTGTTAGCTAGGTGCATGATAAAAATTAAACAAGTATAAAAATATCCTATGCATCAAATGTACTATCTCGTGTAACTTGCAAGTGAAATAACAATTTCGGATTAAAGTAACCCATAAGGGGAAAAAGGATAAAGAGTTAAGAGGTATGACAATTTGAAATTATCACAGATGCATAGGCTTCTCCTATATTTTCTCTCCTCTTCCCCAATTTTATAGTAATGCCAGTGTCAAGGGGGAAGACAAAAGTTAAGAGACATGACGATTTGAAACCGTCACATAGTTATCAGGTCATCATTTTTAATCTCTCCTCGTCGCCACTGAACGTCCATCTTTGCAAACAGTTGCATCCTATTATTAGTTATGAGAAACAGAAATAACTGTGAAGACGTTATCAGCATGTTGGAAAACATCATATGCTTCTGATTGTGTTAAGCTAAAAGCCTGAGGAATTAGTTTGCTTTGAAGCTACAACTTGTTGATGTGAAAAACGGTGGTGCACAATGCACTGTCCAAAATATCCGCTGACATCTTTAAATTTAAATTATCGATGTCTCCGCAATTCTAACAAGCATAAATTTTTTTTCCTTTCGTTTTTGGGTTATGTAGGACCAAGCCGTCGTGCCACCAAATAATTATGGAACGGTTGCATCCTCCGTATCTCCCCAAACTCATGAAGAATGTCCGCACAAGTGAAGGGAGATACCATCATGGGCAACACAAGCACGAAACCCGGTTCACAAAACCCAGTCCCCATCTGGAACTCAAATGTTTGAATGTAATCCTGTTGCAACGTTAACTATAGCACTAATGCGACGCCTTCTTGGTATGGTCATGGAATTCTGGTGGGTTAGTTTATGTTCTAAAGGGTTTTAATGTGACAGTGACTGATGCAGGACAGACTCAAGGGTATCGAGGAGAGTGGAATAGATAACCTGGGATTCGCTCAACCAGGGGCAATGGAGCTTGCTCACGTCGCTAATCGTGGATTCACTCATACGACCAAGCTTTACCAAGCTAAATGCTTGATTTTAGAAGGAGAAACAACTCATTTCAAATGCACAAAGCAAATAATATTTTAATTCATTCAAGTCTAGCCCCAAAGGCTTTTGATACATCAATATTTAAAGGAACTCAAGATAAAGGAACATAAATATACTACAACTTCCTAAGAAACTCTCTAAAAATGACTTAACAAGTTCCTATGTCATTAAAATACACAGCCTTATTATTCCAATGCATTATAGTGGTCTTCAAATTGTTTTCTTCAAGGTCTGCCTCCCGCATCAGTGACGAGCTCTTCTCAGCCAACAGAGGCTGGCCTTTGTATATTGAGCCATGGTTTTGCGTTGCAAATAGCCTTCAGCCATGAATTTGTCGAATTTCGATGTATGTTAGTAATTTGTTGCATTGCATAGTGAACGTATAATCTATAGCTTAGTGTGATTATTACCGTCAATCATTCATGCGCGTGAAAGCACGAAAAATTCGATCAGCAAGAATGGCATCATCACTTACTCAACATCTTTTATGTAAAGAGTCATTTCAAATTTCAAACAAATAACGAAAAAGAGGTGTATTAAATTCTACCCTTTTCGGGTTTTACGGAGTTATTTTTGCACATATGTTAGAAGACTATGATTGTAACGAAGCCGAGCAGTGTTGCTATTACTGCTCACGGGCAAAAACCAATATTTGGACATAGGCAGTGACTGCCGAAATCCACAAAGCCCCGGTTCAAGGATAAAAGAAAGGGAGTTTTAACGAAACACTTCTGGTACCGTTCACTTTTAACGAAAAATCATATTTCTACCTTTTCGGTACTATTCACTACACCTTTATTTGTCATTTTTCATTAAAACTAGAGTTTTTTTTGAACTTTTCGTTATTCCTTAAAAGAAGGGCAACCACCAGCTATGCTTTGATTTATACAAGATAATCATAGCCATTGGCAAGTATGAAACAAGCAAATGAACAGAAAAGAAAATGATTATCGAAACATGAATTACACAACCACCAGCCTCAAACGTCACTTGAACGAAAATTCTATGCTTTTATAATACAACTCGATACAGAATCTCAAGAAACAAGTAGCAACACAACTCGACAACTAACTTACATTACCAGAAAATGCGTTAATGTTCTCCACATGACCTGCAGGCAACGCATGCAAATTTGTAAAAGTGCAAGAGACTAAATAGGCAGAAGATCAAGAACAGCAGTGTTAGTCAAGCTATTTAAAAACCCAACTGATCACTGATATTCGAACCCTTCTTTCAACAGCATAGCAGCAAACCTAAGCAGGAGGCCAATCCTGCTGATATTCATACATATCTTGATCCATCAGTACATGCATTATCTTTGTATGCATGAAGAAAACCACCACCTATATTCTTAATGCAGGTCATCATGAATTTACACAAGCATCCTCACAACGACTTTCCACTTTAGATGTCAGTCAGTTAAGCATCTAATAACGAGTATGACACAAATCCGTTTACATGGTAGATTTCATCCCCCATACCCTCCTGGGGTAGAGACATGCCTATTCTCAAGCTGAACTTCCTATGCTACCCTGTCCTACATATAGTTAATCAGAAAAGAGGTGTCAGAATTCCGAGAGCAATCTTGAATCATTGTATATAATTCACTTAAACATAGTCTGATGTTATTATTCACAGGTTTTGAATTCCTAATCAGAAAACAAAACTGACAATGCCTAATCTGATTTGATGCATAGTCAAATTACTTGCCCTCACATTTCCTTTCAAGCTATTTTGAATTAAATCGAGAAATGGATCTCCGGGAAAAGAAAATAAAACTAAAACTAATCCCTAGAACATGGTAAACCAGAAAAAGTCAGCCTGTCAAAGCATACAAACAAGTCTTCTGGGAATATGATGCCATGTAGACATAGGATGCACAAGTAGTTTGTCCTCCTCTTTGTGTTCCTCCCAGTTTCTTGTTTCTCATCCAGAAGGGCCAAACCTTCACAGAACTACAGAAAAGTTCTCAATTTCATTTAGTATCATACGAGATATCATTTCATTAGAAGTATGACTTACTTTTTAAGTTCAGAAAGTATTCAGTGTCGTTAATTATTATGGCATTTCCATTTTCGTTCCCAGTATAATTGTTTATGAACTGTAAGAATTTATTTACTAGATATGCAGTATCACAGGCTCAACCTGAGTTTTTACAGTAATTATTACTTCCTTGACTATCATTTGAATTTTCAAAATTCAAATTACTAAAAAATGACATTAGAATTCAGCGTTTGAACATCCTTGATAGTAGAGATTAATGAGGATGGCAATAAGATAGTTAAGCTAAGAGATTGTCTTTTATAAGCCACTTAATTAAAAAATTAAATGGAAGTAACAAAATATTAAGAGTGGCAAATGACCAGATAAGGTCCAAAGTTCCAGCTTTCAAGTGCTACCATACTTGCATTGTGGATGTTATTTAAGACAATGTATCGAGAGCTTTGGGTGTTTGAGGCAAAAGTGAGTAAGAAATCACGTTTTCAAGAATTATTTTTCACAGTTTATCAGTGTTTCATGCGCAATGCAGAAAGCATAAGGACAAAAAGGCATTCCTTACCGTTACCTTGAAACAAAAACTAACAAACTATTCTGCAGTGTTGTCAGCTGAAAGGAAGAAAACAAGGAAACAAGATCGAAGAGCTGACAGCCAACAAGGAAAAGAAGATTTAATTGCATAACTAAATCTCACGAGATCAAGTGAAAATAAAGTGGAGCATCCCAATTAAAGACCAAGATTGTATAGATAATTTCCCATGTGTACACCCTGATAAGCAAAACAACTCAAAACTGTACAATAAGGATAAATAAGACTTTCCCTACAATTACCTTTGAACAAAAAATCAGACAACCCATTCCACAGTGTTGTCAGCTGAAACGCATAAAATAACGGAACAAGAACCAAGAGCACACTAACAAAAGGTAAAGTAAGAGTTTACTATATAGCTATTTATCTCATGAGCTTAAAAGAAAAAAGAACGAGGAGCATCTAAATTAGAGGTCAATATTTGCTAAAAAATATGAGAGAGGCAAGGTGCTTCTATATTCAAGCAAATGAGAAGGTCGGTGACTCTTATTCCATGTTACCGAATCTCTTGGCAATTACAGGACGAACATCATCAGCATTAACCAGGGTCTCTAAGAAGGGAAGTAATGAAATCAAAGCACTATCAGACGGATCATCAAACCAACTCTTTATTGGAATTCCATTGTTAACTTGCAAGCGGAAAACCTGAAATTGTCAAAAGAGAATAAAGGTAAAACAATCAGTTTATCCACGAATAACAATGTTGCCATTCAGTACTACGGTATGGTGGTATTCCTCTTCACTTGTAAGTGAGAGGTCTTAGGTTCGAATCTCGTGGATGGCGAATTCAATACCAAATTAGGTTGTCCATTGTGTGGCTTAGCCGAACTCCCCCCCCTCCCCTTAGTGTAAAATATATCGTTGTACTCAAAAAAAAAAGAAAAACAATGTTCATTCTTCCAACTTTTTCTCTCTCCTCTTTTTTGCCTACTTATATATTTTGGTACGACAAGGGTCTTTTTTCATCGGTAATAAGACCAGTTTCAAAAACATAAAGAATACTGTTTCATGATAAGTTTTTATCTAGGCCAAAAAAAATTAATAATAGAGAACAACCCATAGAGTGGAAATGCAAGAAATAAGAAATAAGTAAAGTCCAAGCAATTAACATGAAAACCCAAGGGATATACCTGTGGAGTATTATCAATTATGGCAACTTTTGCAAGATCAACACCCAAAACTGTCAAATCTTTAGTGTAACTACCATCTGAGAAAATGCACGATTCACGATAAACTCGGCGAGATATAAACTTTGCATATGGATCCAATATATCAAGAAGTTGCGCTGCATATAT